ATCCCGGGCAAACTCTAAATCTGGCTAACTCTGTCGGTGGCTCAGCGGTTTTGGCTTGGGTGGGCGGCGTACCCGATTTTTATATTTATACGTTTAGATATATTTGAACATATATCGCTCGAGTAGTGGCTGTTTATTCCGCACATGCGGTGCACAAACCGCTTTTTCGCTTTTCGTTTTTGGTTTATGTCTCCACTTTGGCTGGCTATAAAATTTATGACAACCAAGTTAATTCAATTTCAGCCATGTGTCAATCAACAGCTGCATTTAAGTGGAAAGTTATGTGCAGCCAATCGATGCCCGGACGGTCTATGACATTTTATTTTGACATATTTTTATGGCCAACATATATTAGTACATTGTACACTACCTTTGTCCAAATGCCGCCTGCAGTTAAAATTGATTTTTAATATTTAACTAGGAAATTAATTTGAACGGAGACTTTGATACAAATGAATTTTACTTTTTCATAAGCTTTGCAGGGGCAAGAACAACAAGAAATAGAATCCCCATTTGGTTCGACCTTTTCACATTTCCCATGTGAATTATTGGTTTCTGAGCCTGCTGGCAAGTTGATATGTCAGTTCTACGTTGTCAATCGAGAGGCATTTAATTAAAGGCGATGTCAGTCCACAGTCGAGCAGTAAATTATCTGCCCCCTGTCAGCCATAATTGAGCTCTGAGCTGCACCTGTTGAGGCCAATTTTCAATCTGGCAACAGTTTGGCCAACAGCCAACAGCCAGCCAAAGGCAGGGCCCATCGAAAGCGACCTGACCCGCTTGTGTCAAAGGCTTCTCAGAATACCGGAGCATGTGATTCCGTCGCTCGGATGCCAAAGGCCACTCGGTGCGGTGCAACAGGCAAATCATGTTTCCGTACCGTGCCCCATGTGGCATGTGGCTCGAGGAACGTGCTCGGGTTCGTGATCTCGGCCAGTTGAATGCTGAATGCTGGGCATTAAAAATTGATTGTGATGGAAATGACAAAAGCAACAGTCAGCCCACCACATCCACATGGAGAAAAAATGGCATTCAGGCATGTTCTGGTTCAATGAATTCAATCTAATTCAAATGGAATTTGGAGCAATAATGTTAAAAGTTACAAAGTGGAAAAAATGTTTTTAAGAATATATTCTTAAACTAATTTAAGGAAAAATACGAAACTGGTGTACACAAAAAAAACTTGATATGAATCGATGATCGATTTGATGTTAAGTGGTATTCATTTTCAAAGTCCGAGAATCTCCTAAAGAGAGATTTCGGCAAAAAGATACGCTTATGCAATACCAAAAATTGACCACGCGCATATCGATTTGGATCGATTTTTTTTGTTGTGTGTGATGAATTTTTGTTTAACTTTTTCCCTGTGCACCCGAGTCGTCAGCCCACACACGCGACCACAAAATGAAAGTGTATCAATGTTATTTGCCATTCGGAAATGCCAAAATGTGGCTGTTGGGCTCGATGAAGCGACATCAACATAACATCAACGCGGAGCAACAAAGAAAGCGAGCAATTTGGCAAAAGCCACAAGGAAACAAAACCCTGACATTGCCCCCATCGATTTGCATTTTGCCGAGAGAAAGGTGGTCGTGTGTGTGGATGACGAATGTGCGTGCGATTGGCATCGCATTTACTGTTTCCACTGCCATTACCCATACGCAGTGTGGGCTCGCGTACCCCGAAAAACACAGGAGGGAAGTCAAAGTGGCAGTGGCAGGGCGACCGGTAATTGGAAAATCATCCATTACAACCGGCTAATGGAAACTCGGTAAAATTGTCGCTAAATTCGATTAAGTGTGTAAGCATCGAGACTTTGATATCGATGAAATGCCTCTCCTACCCATCTGAGCCCCCTCCCTTCCCCGAAATCCACATGTTTGTATCGCCGCTTTGGGTTTGACTGATTGCCTCGGTTGGCCTTTTTGCGCCCCACTCTGGTTTTTGGCCACCGCCACCGCCAGTCCACGCATAATTATGTAACTCAATTTGGTGGTGGGACCGGGAAAAAGGCCATTATTTATAAACACAATTTAATTAAAATTCATTCTGTGTCTTGAACCAGAAACAGGCACAGAAGCATAACGTTAGCATAGAAAGCACACAAAATTTAAGCATCACAAAGGAGCCTTTTTCTGATTTAAGTGGGTCTGAGGTTTTTCATGAACGAGGATTCTCTGGAATATCAGCTTACCTACTTCACAAGTGTTTTTTTTTTCTTGGAAAAACAGTCATCCGTTTAGCAATAGAAAATAGTTTTTCTTGCATATCTTCTTTGATTTTACATGTTTTCCATCTTATCATAAGCCTCAGTTAGTACAAAAAAAAATCCCAGTAAGTAATTTGTGAACTCATAAATCCCCTTATCGTTTTTTTAATACGATTGAGCAAACAAAAATTCTTTTTCCCCTTTGATAGAATATTAAAAAATACCTGCATTTGTAAATTCTATTTCTTTGACACAAAAATTGTGTGAGAGTTGCATTTCTGAACATAATGAAATGGCTTTTCATATCAAATAAATTCCCTTTCAGTATCAATAAATCTGTAAGCAATAAAACCTTTTTGTAAAACGTCATTATATGTACCTTGGATGGCATATTGATATTTTCATTTTCAATAAAATATAAACCCGACCTAAGGTCGTGCCCCCGGTGAACCGACTATTTGTTTGTATGGAAATTATATGAAAATTGCACTTGAAACTTTGCCTTGAGCTGGCTGCCACTTGCAGTTGAAAGTTTTTCCATATTGCTGCTGCCGCGTGCTGCATCTTTATTCCCAGCCAACGGCAGCCCCTCTGAAATTATTGATTGCCCCGTCTAAAGTTACGGTGAAGTTTCAATTTTAAATGGAATCAAAGTCAAAGTATATAAATAAAATAGAATCAACTGCACAAATCCCGCAGCCAAGAGCCGTAGAACTTGCAAGGGGCAAGGGGTCAAGTTTCCTTTCTGCGGTTGCCCAGTGGAAACCCTATATTACTACTTTTTAGGTATATGTGAATGTGCATGGCAATTCAAGCGCTTTTCTATTGTGTGCATTCCCCACTTGTCCAACATTCCGGGTCAGCAAATAGCGAAAGGCTTGCCTTTGGTTGAAAAGAGTTCCTCGAATCTGTTGATGCCACAAAAGGGAATATATAATTCTCGGTACTCATTATATTACAAATGAAGGTGCAAAGCTCTTTTAAAAGGATGCTACCATCTCTTTTTCTGACATTTAAATTAAATACTTGAATACTTTAAAGTTTGAATATCAAATGAAATCGACCTTAAAGTTCGTTGAACCAAACAAGCCAAGTTTCTCCCCGAAGATGGCTTGATTAATTGACGATGACCCGGCTAAAGGCTTAATGCCGAACTTCCGTGCGAGTGGCAGATATACTTATTATATCAATTAAGGTAAGCAACAATGCTTTCCATTGTCCGCCATTTGTGCTGTCTCATAGGGACGGAGCACCGACCACCAACCGCCGACCGCCGACCGCCACTTTCCATCGCCCGTTCAACATAATGTGCAATAATGAGTGTCATGTAATGCCAGACGCGTTCGATACGAATTACCAACTAACAAGAAACAACGAACAAAACTAAACAGCAGCTGCAGTGGTTACAGAAAAACGAGAAAAATCGAATGCAACATTAGCAACGAACACAAATTAACATTTTTCAAAACTTTAAAGCACGACATGCGTTGACACTTTTGGGAAAATTGCGTACCATTTCAAATGCAGGCACAAAACTTTACGCGTAATTGCGACACAGGGGAAAATAAGAAAAATAAATGGCTGAAAATAAGGGGGAAGGGGACGAAAAAATAAAACAAACCGCTGGCAAATCGCATTCGCTGCGCCGTTGACAGTTGTAAAATGGAAAGGTTATCCGGACTCGGGCCGGCAAAAAGCATTGGACAAGCAACAAATGCGTGGAGGAAAGTGGCTTCGGAAGCTGCAGCTGCTACTGGAGCTACTCATGCCCCATTCAACTTCTCCTCCGCCAGCGACTCCTCCAAAGAGCTTCTGTCGTGGACAGTGACTGATGGTCTGGGAGCTCCACTGTTTTCTGCCTCCAATGATTACGATGACGATGATGAAGACGGCGATGACAGGGCAGCATTTAACCAGCGCTCAGCAGTTAGATAACTATATATAAATTATGGAAGACAGACGATAAAGATGGTCGACAGAACGCTCTAGAACGTCTAGTTCAGCGCTCGTAGAAACCATTTTCAATTTAGCTTATAAATTCAAAAGCCATCTGCAATCCCTCGCATAAATTCCAGTATGCGACAGAAAATCTACTTTAAACGTGAAGATTTTTTAACTTGCTTTTATTCAAATCCCAAATAATTGTCCCACTTTAAGTAAATGTTTTAAAAAAATATTAATTTGCCTTGCCGTTTTTTCACATTTCTATTCAAGTCAATAACTATTTAAAATGCAGCAATAATATTATTTATATTGAGTGCACGACATCCAAGCTTAGAAACTCAATCGTTTATCAGGAATGGGATCTCCCATACAAATTTGTATGTAAATTCATAGCTACATATAACCAATAGTCAGGGCGCCAACCTCCCTCGCCGGAGAAAGCACTTGAGCTTTACTTTGATGCACATACTCGCATCGTATCCCCATTAAGTTGGCCCCCCGTCGAGCTTGTGGTTCCCCATGTGGCCATGCAGAGAGATCTCCGGCCCCATGGCCCAGAACCCACTCAAATATGCTAATCCACTGGAAGTCCACAAAACCTCCGGCGGCCCACATTCGAGTGCATGTTACTGAGCTTCAGCAAAAGTAGTTGCATAAAGCTACAATGCCTTCCGAGAATCGAGGAGAGAAAGTAATTTTAAATTACCGGAGCAGAGATTTTCTGTTACGGAAAAGCAAGCTTTTTGACTTTTTATATTTAATTCTTCAGTAAAGGTATAAGAATACTTTTCAATCATATTTAGCCACCCGAAAACTGTCGTCTCTTAAAACCTGGCTCAGTTAGTTAGCCATATTTTATTAGGTTAGTCACACACAAAAAGAATTCCGGTGAAACATTACCCAAGATAAGTCTTAAAGTCACATATATGTTCCATCTTTATGTGGATACCAATTTTGATTCCCTAAAGAGGTAAGTTTCCCTGAATCACAATGCATGCTCACCATACGGAGTCGGATCGCATCGTCCATGGCGTGTGGGACAATCCGGGTGTCTCGATCTTCGCCACTGCCGCCCAGGAGCCCATCCCCAACATGCTGAGCCACTTGAAGCCACTGCCGAATGGCGACGAGTGTGTCTCTGACAAGGATGCGTGCCGCCTTTTCTCGCAATCCTCGGTGGCGGAGAACGCGCTTTACCGGCTGGTGAAATTCCAGGTGGAGGAAGTGGCCGCCGATCGCTACAGTAACCTGCATCCACGCCAGGGACAGGAGCAAACCGATGTGGATATTACCCTGGGATTGGCGGCGGAACTGCAACGCCAGCAGGTGGAGGCCAGCAGATGCCTCCAGCTGCACCGCAATGTGGACAACTTGAGGGATCTCGAGATGGAGGTGGCCCGGGCACACACTGCCCTGTCGGTGAAGAACAAGATCATCAACAATATCAAACAGACGGTGGAGGAGAAGCAGCGGGAGCGGGCCGAGGCTCTGGCGGAGCAGCGGGCCATCGAACAGGAGCAGCTGGAGGAGAAGCGGCGAAGGGTGCAGAAGGCAACTGCCTTTCGCCACGACCTCATGGCCCAGATTACGGAGGCTCGGGAGAAGCGGCTGAGAGATCAGCGCGAGGCCATCGCAGAGGGACGTGAGGAGCTGCGGGAGTGCAAGAAGAAGGTGGAGCAGGAGGCTCTCCGGGATGCAATCAACAAGGTGGAGCAGCGCAAGGTGCTCCTGGAGTCCCTCGATCAATCGGCGGCCATGTTGAAGGAAACTCGCGAGGCCTACGCTTTGGCCCAGAAAAATAAACCAGAACGGGGAGTTCTAGACGCATTGGGACCCGTGACAGCGGCCTATGTTTCGAGGGCCAGGAAAAGACACCGGGAGGAGATCGAGGCCAGGGACATAAATGCCGCTCGACTGGGCTTCCAGCTCAGCCAGATCAAGCACGATCTGGAATCCAGGGAACAGCTGATGACCAACCTCCTCATCCGCGAGTCCAAGGCCAAGGAGAACGCGTTGGCCTTGGAGCAGGCCAAAAATAAGATGGCCAGGAAGCAGGAGATCCGCGAACAGCTGCTCAGCCAGCGGGAGGAGCAAAAGTTCTTCCGGGACAAGGCCGTGCAGGATTCCCTGATCATGCCCAAGGATCCCATGTGCTTTGGCGAGCGGCAGTTTCGAATGCAGGTGGCCCAGAAGGAGAACACCCGGCGATTGGATGTCCAGTGCTATCGGGACATGGCCAATATGGTGGTGGAGGGCAAGAAGCGACGGCTGGCCGCCGCCCAGGAGGTGGAGGACATCCTCCAGGAGCTGCGCAATGTGCAGGCCCGCCAGGATGAGTTTGTGGCCTCGGAGCGAATGAAGCTGCTCTCGAAACAGCCAGGCGAAGTTCTATCGGCGCTCAAAAAATCCATTCTAACCGAAGAGGAGATCAAGACCTTCAACATCAAGAAGTGATTAATCAATTTCACAAATATATAATTTATTTATTCTGATTATAGACTTGTGGAAAATACAAAAATAAATGTTTTTTAGTTTAAAGTTTAAACTATATTTTCTGTGCTTCCGATTGTATTAAATCTCAAAAATCCGAATTATTTTAGACTGCCTAATTTTTCAGGTTATCGTCTTAAAATACTTTCTAGATACTTAAAATCTTCATCATATAAGATGGTGGAACAAAGAAGCCAACCTAATACTATATTTTCTGTACTCTTTAAATAGTATGGTATTATTTATCCTACCCCCTTTTTGAATTCAACTAGTGCTCTATTTTGTATCAAGTGTATTATTATTGGTTCCCATTTGCGACGGCCCGCTGGGCAGGATATGCTTAATTTTTCCCCTCTGCTGCCATGCACTCTTAAATGGACTTTGCCTGGGCTGCCGGCATGGCAAATAAAATTCACTTTCTTACCCATTCTTTGGCTTACCATACACACAGGCTTTGGCAGCAGGTCAGGTTTCGTGCCCGAGCAACCGGTTTACCGACATTGCAGCTGGAAAATTTGTTTACATCGATACGATTGGGGCGAGCGTAGATGGAGCCCATATTCATAAGTGTAAGTGCACTTTGGTACGGGGCCGACATGCGTGCGGAACTTTAACTTTCCATTTCTGGTCTCATTAGCCGGCTTCCAGAGGCTGGCTCAAATTTCATAACGGCAGCCAAAGAAGGCTCAAGAATGTGGCCAAAGTCACTTTTTTGGCAACTATTTCGGTACACGCTCTTGATGGTCCGCTGAAACTTTCTCTGGGAAAAACTTTGGCTCAAAGATACAGCTTCAGTGTGCAGAAATGAAAAACAATTTTACCTTTAAGAGCACTGCGAAATATTAGAATGCAGTTGTGGATAGAAGTTTGAAAACGCACTTGAATATTGTATTGGGATTTTTATAAATATATATTATCTAAAAATCCAACAAAAATACTATAGCATTACTTTTCTCTTAAAAGATCCTTTCTCTTAAGCTAAGCACCATTTTTAATTTCTTTCTGTGTAGATTTACAGAAGGAACCAGCACAACCACAACTCAGTTTCTGTTTCATGGTAAGACTGCAGATGGTGTGAGGTTGTTTTGTCTTTTCGACTCTGGTCATAGGAGGTGGGTTGGTTGGATGAAAACTTTTTATGCCAAAAACTTTTTTTGGGCCAGATCTTCAACTTGGCCAAGATGTGAAGTTGTGTGCACGAGCATGTCTGCACCTTTTCCACCTGGAAGAGCGTTACGGGCTCTAATAAGAGTCGTCGTGTGGCTGCAAATGTGTTTGCATTGCAATGAAATTGGAAACGAGATCTGCAAAAGTTGAGTAATTGAGCTGATTCTGCTTCGTTGGTCACTCGAATCGGTAGAACCTTTTCTCCACCGGATTCGTGCCACAACAATCATTGGGGGCCCCAGTTTGAGGCCAGCATAGAAAGAGGCACATTGAGAGAAAATGAGCAAAAGATATGGGTCACACTAGGCACTAGTTAATTCGAATTATCTGTTAATAATGCAGTATTAAAAATTTAAGTTGTTGCAAAAGGTAAACTTATAATTAATAATTTTTATATGCAATACATATGTTTTGTATTAATATTTTAATGCTTCTTTTTCCACTCTGCACCGACAGAGACAGACCAAAAAAGGGAACAATGAAAGACAGGCTCTGAAGACATTGAATGCCAAAGCCAGAGAACAAAGCAATAAAAGGCCCGAGAAGTGGGTTGCTGTTGTTGTTAGCTGTTTGCTTGCCATGCTGGGAATGGAAAATGGAAATGCTCAGGAAAATGAAGGAAATGCAACGGCGTGTCGTTAACATGGCTGGGTGGAAATCAGTTGGCTGGCAGTACGCATATGCTTGACACGGAAAATGCAGTGGCATTGCATACTAATGCCGTGCCGAAAGACAAACGTAGGAAATAGATGCTCATAAAAATTACTTTGGTGGCTCTAAAAAAATGCCATCAACCATTAGCCATCAGGCAAGCCAATTCAATCCAATCCCCTACGATCCATAAGCGGTCTCACTCGCTTTGGGAAGCCCACGCAAAATGCAGCCCACAGATATCGGTCGGAGTATCTGGTAGCCGCGATTATCATGTGGGCGCCGAGTGAAAATTGCGTGCAATTATCCAAAGATGATATCAGCGTATATACATATTTATATACGCTCCATTATGGCCCTTGGGCTGCGATTTGTTTGTGTGCTTTTCCACACTTTAAACGCTGCGACTCGAACTGGTTTCGAGCCAATCGACTGCTATAAATAAACAATTATTTTTTAATGCAAAGCCAGCGAATGCGAATGCCGCAGACACTGCCCATGGAATGTCGCCGTAAACAATAATAAGATAAATAAAATGTAATTGTAATATAGCAGACTGCCCGGGATTAAAACAATTAAGTCACAACAAAAGGTTTAATTAAGGGTAATAAAATAATGCCATATTTGTATTAAATTTGTAATAAACTTCATGTTTAAGCTTTAAAAAATCGAGTACTTTAAAATTACATATATATAAAAAATCATTTAATATTCCTCTAGTTTCTCTTATTTTTCATAAGTCCAGTAACCCTTGGCATTTCTTTAATTCCGACCTTTACCTTGGTACCTAAATAGCTAGTGTATCCGCTGGGTGGGCAAATCAATAATTAAATGCTTAAGTGCAGCTCAAGCTTATTCATCTGTGGCCTGCTGCCCCCGGCCAGATACACTCACGTACGCCAGATAGAGACAATTCAATTTTAGCCAGCTTATGGCTATTGTTATGGCCATTATATCTGGCTTACATTTTGAGCGCTGACCGTTGGCGTTGGCGAAACAAAGTTGACTTGACTTGGGCTGTGGCGTTCAATAAGAATTTCAATCGCCTCGGCGACACATTGCAGCCACTTTACGCCAGCTGATGCCACGAAAAATATATTGAAAAAATGAAGAAAAACGACAGCAACCGCAATAATGATTGTAACAGCAACTGCGAAAAACAATAACAACTCACACTCTGGTCCACTTTGGAGCTACTAGCCCAAAAATGTTTACTTTATAACTTTATATTTTATTTACTAAGCCTATTCCAAAGATTCTGATTCATTTTTCGCAAAGTTCATTGAAACTTTCAGAGTTTTCAATTGCATTTCCGTTGACCGCCTTCTGATTCATCGAAGTGGGAATCGATTTTTAAATGCAAGCACGTACAGTAGCTGTGAAATAAATCTCTGTTTATTAAAAATACTCTTTTAAATGAAAAACTATTAAAATGTAAAAATTATATTGTATAAATTCGATTGCATAACTTTTAATAAACTACTCTATAAAGAGGGTAGCAAAGCCTCAATTGTAAACAAAATTTATCTAAACGTTTCTATGGTTGTTTAAATCAGCCCCATTTTGCCGCTTGTTTACAGATTTTTCCGTCACATTCACAAAAATGTTTCACAGCCATTTTGGCCATTGAATTTGTCAGGCACAAAAACACGCGAAAACAAAACAAAGTCACCGGCAACCATTGACAGACTTGTTTTGGCCAGATTTTTGTTTCAGACTTTGTTTTTTTTTCAGCCGTTTTTTCTGTGACTTTCGGTCGGCTCAATTGCGCTGCTTAATGTGATTTGACCAATTTGGGTTCTGTGACCAAAGGCAGAGCGTTAATTTGCCTATAATTATTCTGGCATGTCGGTGGGATAATTGCACTATCGGATCTGACGGATTATAATGATTGAATCGTGGCTAATTTCGCTTTGAAATTAAAGAACTGAAAGTAAGTAGCTGTTAGTCTATGGGTATGCTATCCGCTTCGAACACCCTTACTTTCATCAGTTTATCTGGCGAACCATCATCACTTAAGTTCACTTTTGATGACACTCGTTAAAAGACAGTTAACCCGTTTTGCATTTGGCTTGATTACAGCTTTCGCGACCAGTTTATTCTGATGTGGGTTTATCACTCGCCCGACATCTAACTGGCCAAAAGCCCAACCCAAACCCAAGCCAAAACCCAGATATGTCTCACATAAAGCTCTATCTTTCCCACTTGTGGCAGCTGTTTTCATTTCGATAAAAATGCAAATATTTCAGCGAGAAAAGAAAGAAAAATATCGTTATTAAACTCAATAACTGTCACCGCTTTTTTGCATAAATTATAATAAGTTTCGTGCGGCAAGGAAAATATTCAACACAACTTCTGAGAGATATTTCATGTTTGCAGCGGAAATAGAAAAAGGCCGACAAGCAAACAAGATGGAAAATTAAGGAAGCTGGCGAAATGATAATGATAAATGTTCGTTGGGGGCCGACGAAAGGGGGCGTGGCATGGAATGAATATTTATGAATGATTAATGAGAGGAAAGGCCATAGACCGCCTGGAGGTGGGCCCAAGAGTCAGAGTTGAAAGCAAAATCTCCAATTACCTCGTGCAACTGGCCGTGTTCGCAACTCCAGCCCTGGTCAATGCACCCCAGCTTATCTCGAAAAGTGTCGAGCTCTGCTAAGCCCCAATCCCAGTACCACGGCATACACATGACATAATGCCCAAATATTTGGATCTTGGGCGCATAAATAAGTTCAGCAAGTGTGCTTCATTTTTACGGCACATCTCTGATAAGCGCCCGCAACTTAGCTCATTTCGACCTTATCGCTGTAGACGAAAGACAAAGGCGAATGTACAAGTACGTTCGTAGAATGTCTTTCCGAAACTAGCATATAAAGAAGCCATTACCATTTTGAAAAAATCAGTGTCAAGTCGAAAGTCAAGAATTTTTTAGAATTTATTATGGCCATGCAGCAAAGTGCTAATTAAACTCATCTGGCTGCTGACAGACACAGAGATACGACATACGAGATACGTCTCATTTTGAGAGAGAAACTTTTCCACACTCACAGGTGACACAAGTAAATGGCGCAAACAATTCATAAAATTAGCCCGAATTAGTAAGCAGCTTATCTTTGTATCAGTTTTTTCATAAACTATATGATC